GACATCTACGAAGAAACGGCTCTCGGTCTGCCTTAGGTGATTCAGGAAGGATCGACCCGATGGGATGCCAAGGAAATGTCGTTCTCGATCTGGAGGACGTTCATCTCTGAGTCGTCCGATGATATCATCCGTCTTGAACTCACTCGGTTCCAGATAGTAATCCTCCACCTCATTGTCCGGCATCTCCCACCAGCACACCTCCTCGTTCTGTAGGTAGTTGAGCTCTCCGAGGTCCTCGCCGCAATCATCCATGACGTCGGGATCTATAATCCTCTTGACTTTCTTCTTTGGTTCGTGTCCCTCGGCCTTCCTGGACTTCAGCTTCTCCTTGTAAGCCTTGGCCGAGTCAGTTGGATAGAAACTGACCGTCTTCGACTTCATCACCACCATGTGGGTGTCCACGGGCTCATCAGGTCCCGTCTGCGGATATCGTGCAGCTCGATCCGTCTCATCATCGTTCGGTACCTCTCCTCGAACTGCATCGCACAGCTTGTCTCGGAGTCTATTCTGCCAGAATGCGGTAAGAAACTGACCTTCAAGCTGAACGTGTTCCAACCCTGTCGATCTGCGATGATCTGAAATCTTACGACCACAACTGCACGAGTCAGGCAGCAGGTCCAGGTTGGAAAAGAATCTCTGGCTGGTCGTCGGGGCCATGTCGGTGCCTGACGTTAAGTAGCTGCACCATCTATGATCCGTCGTCCGATATCCTGGCAGGGTCGTTGCCGTCGCTCTAAGAATGTCATCCTCCTGCCAGGCCTCATTCGTAGCTTGGGAATCGACCACCAGCACGCACCGAAGCTGAATCAAACGCGCGATGAGCATGGAGGTCGCCATCAATCTTTGCCTTTGCTTTCGGGTCTTCCCGTGTCTTCTAGTAACGTCAGGTATAAGGGAATGTAGTCGCATCCAAACACCTCTGCACTTCCCTCGCTCCAAGAGTCGGAGAATATGCTCCATGGTCGAGGCATGCAGAAGACTTAGGCGGGTGTAAGTGATGTGGGCCTGACTCAGCAGCTTCGCGCGGATCGGATGGCCGTTGTCTTCGTCTATCACTATGATATCAGGGTCCTGCTCGGGGACGTCCAGATGCCAAGCTATATGATTTCCTGCGGCACCGCCGTCGCTTGGTAGCGGCGGTCCGCACCCTCAGTGCGCCGCAGGCCTCGAGGTAGTAGCCGGTGACGGCCCGTGCGTCGACGAGTCTGCCTCGTCCTCCTTCGCCTTATCTTTGATCATGGGCTTGACGATCACAGGCGTACTCGCATGCCAGGTGGCCGGCTCCTGCTTCGCGCGAACCTTCTTGTCCTTACCGTTGCCGAAGAAATGCGAAATAGGCAACAGCAGATGTCCTGATCTTGAATCTTCCAGGTTGAACGCGAGCGCCCCTGGCGGTGGCGTAAACTGTACTCTTCCCGGGCCACACAGATACAACTTGTTGTTGATCATGTCGACCACCGCCCTGTTGTGCTTCAGACTACGCTTTCCCCAGAGAGCGGGAATGTCGGAGTCCGGAACCACTGGGGCCTTGTAGCTTATCTGATGCACCTTGCCTCGTTCATCCTTGGATGCGCCTGGCATCGTCACCTCCTCCTTGGCGATCTGAGCGTTGGTGCCGACTCCTTCAACTCCGATCGATTGATCCATCAGACGTTGTGTCGGTTCCAAGCCTGCCTGTCTTGCCAAAGCTCCCATTCGCATAACCCATCTGTCACCCACCAGATTGTCATACGCGCCTGGATCTATCAACAAGCACTCTTTGCCATCAATTCGTGTAGCCTCTAGAAATACCTGTCGTGTCTCATCGTATCGTTCGAACACCGGTCCCACAAACCACTTCAATCCCGCAGGTTTGGTTCCCGAGTCAATCTGCTCATCGTTGGACCGATGCTCCCCAAGAGTTGCCTCCGTGTCCGGGTCATCTATGATCCGAGCCTTCGCCTGTTCAATCATCTGAATCGTCTCATTGCCGATGTCCACGAACTCCGAGGGAGTCGATAGCATATCCCAAGATGCGGATGAAGCACAGTCACGGCGGACCCCCTCTTGAAGGTCTGGCCGTGCATGCGACTCGCACAGGCGCGAGCCTTCCTCCTTCACGTCCGGGTAGTAGCTGTCCTCGTACTCCTTCTCGTCATCCTTGGACACGCCCACCTGTGATTCCATGTTGCTCGGCATGGCGAAGAAGTGCCTGGTCGCCGTTGACGCTGCCGGTTGGCCCGTGAGTTGCTGCCAGTGCTGCAACGCGCTGGAGAAACTTGAAGCTGGTTGGGCTCCTCCGGTACTCATATTTCCTTCCGTCGTCACATAACCCTTTCCTCCTGAGGTAGCCCGTTTCCGTCGGTAATCGTCAGCTCCCGGAGCGTCACACTTCCTCCATAGATGCTTCTCGCTGTTGCAGTGGTCACATCGAAGTGGTTGTCCGTTCGCGCCTCTCGGGTTGGTCTTCTCGCCTTTGCCCTTGCCCTTGTAGTATTCATGGGTGTTCCACGTGCACCCGGGGCAAAGAGCTCCGTCTCCCGCTTCAGAAAGAAAAGACCATCCACTACTTCTCTGAAATCTGACCCCTTTCTTGCCCTTGCCTTTGCCTTTGTATCTACGACGCCTTGGAAGTCTGTCCACTCGCCTCCTCCAGTGCTTCTTGGCCAAAGCGTATACTTCATACAGATCGCTGTCGCTCATCTGGGCACTGATGTGGAAGGTCGACTCCGCCAAGTCGTTGAAGTCGTCATCGCTCGTCTCGGTGGAGTCCGGGTCTTCCCGGTCGTAGAATATCTTATGGCAATTGCTGCACCAGCATCCTTCTGTATTTGATCCATTCGATACCCCCGCAACTCCGCCGAGTGGTACACCTGACCTTGACGAGGACGATGCGCTGGGGTAGTAGGGCATCGGTGGCGGTGGTACTCCCACTTGGGTGCCCGCGTCTTGTGAGCTGTCAGTGAAGTAGAAACCGTCACCGGAGCCTGTGAGGTTTGTGAAATGCTGATGCCTGGATTGGTGAGCTGCCTGCGCAAGTCCACTCCGTTCGTAGAGATGATTCTGACGCCTGATAAAGGAGGTAAGACTTGAAAGCTCCTGTTCATTCGTTGGCAAGTTACCTCCCGTTGGTGCCAGAAATTGAGCCCACTGTGGCGGTGGAATGCCCAGAGCATTGAGCAACATCCAAGCCAAATTCGGAATTCCCATGTGGAAATTTCCCAGATGCTCAGCCTTGAACTTCAGAAGATCGAATCGAGCCAAAGCCTGGTCAATCGGTTCGCCTTGCCGTCGACGAAAAGCAACCAGGTCCGTCATGCTCGCGATAGCGGTCTCCACCTCCAGTGGCATAAACTTGCGTCGCAGCCCGTGTATCAGTAGGTCCAGCCCCGAACACCATCGATGTCCAGCTCCGCCACGGAGGTCCATGTAAACTCCGTCTTGTAATTGGTCTGGCGGCACTTCTCTCGATATCTCTCTGGCCAATCCTGATAGCTGCAAGACCACGGCCGGAGCGATCGAGCGTGCCGGTATATCTGTCATAGCTTCCCACATGCGGATGTCCGTGATCCAATCTCTGAGTGGATATGAGGACTCCCTTGCGGGGTCCCAGCTCGGTGGCGTCTTCGTATTGGACTGCATGATAAGAGGTCCAGCTGGTATGCCACCGTTCATCTGCGGGGCGTTCGCCATGATGTAGTCGTAGTAGCGCAGTGGTATGTCGTCCTGGGAGCAGGCACGGGATCGCACCTGCTCCGCTACCAAGTTGTTTTCCTCACGCTCCTCCTCCTGGGACAACGCCTCCAGAGGTATGCCGCCGTCGTAGTCCGTCAGCGCGTCCGCCGACGGAGGTGATACAGGCACTTCCACAGTGCCGGTCCTGAGAGCCCTGTTGGCCCGAAGGGCCACGAAGAGGGAGAGGACCACGAGGATCGTCGTGACTCTGATAATCTTGATTATCTGATATGGAATGATGGTGGGAAGAGGAAGAGGCTGCCGCCGCACACAGGATACGCACCCTCTCGCTGAGAGGCTTCTCACTGAATGGCTTGAGCCAAAGCGGCCATTACGCCGCTCTGTCATATACATGCTTCTCTACACGCTGGGCACTCATGCTTACCCTCCCTTCTCCCGGGAGGACATATACACATCAACTCCCCCTCCGCCTCCCCCTCCTCCTCCTCCTCCTCCTCCTCCTCCTCCTCCTCCTCCTCCTCCTCCTCCTCCTCCTCCTCCTCTCCTCCATCCTCCTCCTCCTCCTCCCCCCCCCCCCCCCCCCCCCCCCCTCCCCCTCCCCCTCCCCCCTCCCCCTCCCCTCCTCCCTCCTCCTCCTCCTCCTCCTCCTCCTCCTCCTCCTCCTCCTGTTCCTGCTCCTGCCTCCTGCTCCTGCTCCTGCTCCTGCTCCTCTCCTCCTCCTCCCTCCTCCTCCTCCTCCTCCTCCTCCTCCTCCTGTCCTCCTCCTCTCCTCCTCCTCCTCCTCCTCCTCCTCCCTCCTCCTCCTCCTCCTCCTCCTCCCTCTCCCTCCCCCTCCCCCTCCCCCCCTCCCCCCTCCCCCTCCCCCCCTCCCCCTCCTCCTCCTCCTCCTCCTCCTCCCTCCTCCCTCCTCCTCCCCTCCTCCTCCTCCTCCTCCTCTCCTCCTCCTCCTCCTCCTCCTCCTCCTCCTCCTCCCCCCTCCCCCTCCCCCACCCCCCCCCTCCCCCTCCTCCCTCCCCTCCTTCCTCCTTCCTCCTCCTCTCCTCCTCCTCCTCCTCCTCCTCCTCCTCCTCCTCCTCCTCCTCCTCCTCCCCCTCCTCCTCCTCCTCCTCCTCCTCCTCCTCCTCCTCCTCCTCCTCCTCCTCCTCCTCCTCCTCGTACTCACCTCCCAACACCCTCCCGAAGGGCCAACTCGGGCTCCCGCTGGTTCCCGCCGTTCGCCGAGCTTCTTGCGGCGAGGCTGCCCTCTGTGCCTCTGCCGTCTCGCGAGGGGCATCCGCCGGCCACGAGGATCACGAACTGCCGACTTCCTCACGGTTTCGCACGAGGCCGCCATCCGCGCAGAGTCCGTGTCACCTCCGCATCTGAGCCGCGTCCGGTCCGAGTCGGGTCCACGCCGAATCTGCGTCGAACCCACGTCGGGCAAGCACACCAAAAAGACCGCAGCTCACAAGACAGGGGCAGAGCCCCTCGAGGATGCAGCATGATCACCGTGGCCCACCGGCTCCTCGAAGGCGAGGCCATGACATGGCCGCCATGTTGGGATCCCTTCGAAAGGGTGGCAGCTCGCGTTGGAGGTCCGTGCCTGGCCTCTGCTCTCGCGAGGGCGGGCCACCTTCCCGAACAGGCCGGCTGTCCCACCTGTCGCGGATGGCGTAGCAGGGTTCGCCGTGGCCAGGCGCGCTCACCTTCGGAGAGGGAGGAGAAGAGGGGGGGATAGGAGGGGGGAAGAGAGAGAGGGGAAGTGGAGGGCTGGGCCAGGATTCTGGCGAGCGCCACGAGCGGCTTGCCTGCCCCCCGACGACGGGCCTCTACGACGTCCAGCTCGGGCTGGTCGCACAACAGCTTTCGCAGCCACCCCTTGCCGCCCAGCGCGGACTTCACCGCCGACACGACGTCGGGGTGGGCTTCCGCCATGAGCTTCGACAGCGTGGATCCGGGCAGGAACCCCTCCTCTGGCAGAAGAAGAGGGGCACGAGGCAGAGACTGAAGGGGCCCAGGGTCACAGAAGTCCCCATCTTTTCCCATCTTTTCGGGGTCTCTGTCTTCCCCCCCCCCACTTCGCATATCTTCCCACATCTTCCGGGGAGTCGACGATCCATGGTGTCTCTGTGTGTCTCTTCCCCTCCTGCTAGACATCAAGCTTCCCGGTGTGTCCGCGCGGGCCTCCGGGAGCGGCGCCGGGCGCCCCCCCCAAGCCTGGCGCGGCGGAGCGCGCACAGAGAGGGCCCGGTCCGGGAGGGTCTCCTCGGTGGTCCTCGCCGAGGAAACAAATATGCACACGCCCGAGCGATGCCGAGCAGAAGCTTCTCCAGACGTCCGCGCGGGTCTCTGGGATCGGCGCCGGGCCCCCCCCCCCCACTTCGCATATGTTCCCACATCTTCCGGGGAGTCGACGATGGATTTGTGTGTTTCTCTTCCCCTCCTGCTAGACATCAAGCTTCCACGTGTCCGCGCGGGCTTCTGGGATCGGCGCTGGCCCCCCCCCCAAGCCTGGCGCGCGGGAGCGCGCACCTAGGAGGGCGGCGCCGAGGCGCCGCCACGAGGGGCCCGAGGCGCAGAGCCAGGCACTTTGGGCGGACCTCCTAGAGAACTGATGCCTGCGCTCTGCAGGCTCGGGCTCCGCGCGCCGCGCCGCCGACTCGGCGCGGCGCGCGGCAGTCGAGACGCTGGAGCAGGGAGCAGTCTTTGGGTTCGGAGGGGGCTCGCTGTTCCCTATCGGTTCCTCCAGTGCTGTTCCTGGTGCCCTCCTGGGGCACGGGGGCGCTTACAGGGCCAAGAAGGGGCTCCGTTCCTTATCAGGCGTTCCTTCTTTCAGCAGCCCGACTGTATCCACGCCCCAGTCCCCAAGCGTCAACGTTTTCGGTTTTTCCCAGCCTCCCGCCCCGCGGAGCGGAGCGACACGGTGTCCGCTCGCAAGGCATAGCATGTCGCCAACCGCCGCCGCGACACGCTGAGCAAAGCTTCCCGACAGTACGACGCAGCTGCTCCATACGCGGATCCTCCGCAACGTCGAGCGCGGAGGCGGCCGCGGCCTGGAGGGTGGCCTTCTGGATCTCGTCCAGCTTGGCCAGGTTGGCGGGGGCGCCGGTTCTCGGCTGGCAGACGGCCGCGGAGCTGGGGCTCAGCAGGGTCCCACCGGAGAAATTGGCGTTGAGCGTGTAGCAAGGCTCGCCAACCGTCTGGACCTGGGCCGGATCCCAGACCTCCAACGTGTTGAAAACTCACATCGGCAATTCTTCGCAATGTTCGGCCCCTGGGGGCCCTCGCAGGGCCCCGGAACCGTCCACAGACAGCTCGGGGTGAAAGAGACTGCCCTTGGGAAAGGGTTGGGACTTCTGGGGGTCGCGCACACGTAACAAAAAACACACATGGATCTCATGGGCCACGACAGTGGACACCCTAACAGTGTTATCCTTGAATGTGGCATGTGCTTAAAATGTAGGAAAATGTTCTAAACATATGTTAAACATGTTTTCTACATGTTTAAGCAATGTTTTCAAGCATGTTGGCATTATTTGGCAGCAAGCTTCCTCTCCACTGATCGTCCTCCACAAAGATACGGTCGAAACCACGCGCTCGGCGGATCTCATGAGCCCTGCATACACGTCGTTCATCCCTAATCGTGCTCACTTCTAATTGCGTTCGTTCCTACTTGTCCCTGGCCCCCTAGTGCCCAGGAAGAGGCCCAGGATGGCAGCATTAGAAGCGAAAGGATCTTGGCCCCCCCAAAAAAAGTCAAAGAACTTCCAAAGAAATAGGAATGAACAGTGTGTACCACAAGCTACGGTTAAGTCGGGCGTGTCCCCCAACTGGGAGATGTTTGGTGAAACATACAAAGTACTCCAGAAATACCCCCCACATGATCAAACATTGCCCAAAACATTTTCCCCTGACTATTTCTGGACTATTTTTGAACATTCCCCCTGTAGAGGGACACGCCCAACTTGAAGCTACGGTCGAAAGCACGTGCCTGGCGTGCCGCGGCGGGAGACCGCGCGTGGCACGCCGCCGGACTGCGAGCCTGCGCCGCGCCCCCGGCGACACGCCACGCTGCGCTGCCCGCGGGCGGGCAGCGGGCCGCTCCGCTCCGAAAAGCGGGAAGCCGGGGCAAATTCCGGGCATTGGTTCCTGTTGAGCAGGGGCCGTAAGGCTTAGGGTTTAGGGTCCACTAACCCGAGTTTGAAGCCTGTTGGACGTGTCCCACCCACGCATGACCCAGGACATATGGATCTCAAGACGACGACGACGATACCGATGACGAAGACGACGATACTGATCTCAAAGCGACGACGACGACGACGGTCGCGCAAAGTCTTCTGGGAAGCCGCTGCAACGCCGACGCGGCACGCGCGCGCGACGACGCGATTTGAAGAACAACGTATATGTACGCGAGTCCCTGTGCGTCGCAGGGACGCCGCCCAGCGGCGGTGAGATTGCATGGAGTGGCTGCGCAACGAGCGCGGGATAGCTCGTTGCTTCGAGGAGACGGACCCCCAGTTCGCATCCTTAGCACTGTGGCGCGGTGCGCGAAGTCCGATGCAAGGGCGATGCGACGCGCGCGCGAAGCGACAAAAACGACTAGCGCCCCGCAGCAACTTACCGGCGCCTTGGCGATGCAGCACCATTCCTGGCACTCCGAAGGCAAAGATCTGCGTGAGGGGTGCGCCCTGCGTTTTGCAAACGCTCTCGGAACACCATCCCTGGCACTCCGAGGGCAAGGATCTGCGCGAGGGGTGCGCCGAAATGGGGGGCGGCATAATGCATTTTAGGATATGAATACTTATAAGCTCTTAGCTCTTAGCTCTCAGGGTCCACTAGCCCAAACTTGAAGCCTGTTGGACGTGTCCCACCCACGCATGACCCAGGACATATGGATCTCAAGACGACGACGACGACGACGGTCGCGCAAAGTCTTCTGGGAAGAAACTGCAACGCCGACGCGGCACGCGCGCGCGACGACGCGATTTGAAGAACAACGTATATGTACGCGAGTCCTGTGCGTCGCAGGGACGCCGCCCAGCGGCGGTGAGATTGCATGGAATGGCTGCGCAACGAGCGCGGGATAGCTCGTTGCTTCGAGGAGACGGACCCCCAGTTCGCATCCTTAGCAATGCGACGCCCGCACGCGCGCGCGAAGCGACAAAAACGACCAGCGCCCCACTGCAACTGACCGACGCCTTGGCGATGCAGCACCATTCCTGGCACTCCGAGGGCAAGGATCTGCGTGAGGAGTGCGCCCTGCGTTTTGCAAAAGCTCTCGGAACACCATTCCTGGCACTCCGAGGGCAAGGATTTGCGCGAGGGGTGCGCCGAAATTGGGGGCGTCATGAGGGGTAAATATGTATAGGCTCTTAGCTCTTAGGGTCCACTAGCCCAAACTTGAAGCCTGTTGGACGTGTCCCACCCACGCATGACCCAGGACATATGGATCTCAAGACGACGACGACGATACCGATGACGACGATACTGATCTCAAAACGACGACGACGACGACGACGACGACGACGACGACGACGACAGTCGCGCAAAGTCTTCTGGGAAGCCGCTGCAACGCCGATGCGGCACGCGCGCGACGACGCGATTTGAAGAACAACGTATATTTACGCGAGTCCCTGTGCGTCGCAGGGGCGCCGCCCAGCGGCGGTGAGATTGCCTGGAGTGGCTGCGCAACGAGCGCGGGATAGCCCGTTGCTTTGAGGAAACGGATCCCCAGTTCGCATCCTTAGCAATGCGGCGCGGTGCGCGAAGGCCGATGCAAGGGCGATGCGACGCGCGCGCGCGAAGCGGCAAAACGACTAGCGCCCCGCAGCAACTGACCGACGCCTTGGCGATGCAGCACCATTCCTGGCACTCCGAGGGCAAGGATCTGCGTGAGGAGTGCGCCGAAATGGGGGGCGGCATAAGGGGCTGCTTTAGGCCGGCATAAGGGTATAGATCACCGGGGGCCTTGGCTACCCTAGGCCCTACCCAAGGCCCTAGGCTTCCCAAGGGTAGGCCCTACCCAAGGCCCTAGGCTTCCCAAGGGTAGGCCCTACCCAAGGCCCTAGGCTTCCCAAGGGTAGGCCCTACCCAAGGCCCTAGGCTTCCCAAGGGTAGGCCCTACCCAAGGCCCTAGGCTTCCCAAGGGTAGGCCCTACCCAAGGCCCTAGGCTTCCCAAGGGTAGGCCCTACCCAAGGCCCTAGGCTTCCCAAGGGTAGGCCCTACCCAAGGCCTAGGCTTCCCAAGGGGTAGCCCCAGGGTAGCCCTAGGGGTGGGCCCCAGGGGTAGCCCCAGGGTAGCCCTAGGGGTAGGCCCTAGGGGTAACCCTTTATTGCGGATTACAATATGATTCCTTTGGTCGAGCGGGCGGGCGGGACATTAATAGCATTGGTTGCCTTGGTGGCGGATTACATATTTATTCCCTGTGTGGTGGATTATCAACTGATTATTCTTGTCGGGCGGGCGGGCGGGACACTAAAGGCATTGATTGCATGTGTGGCGGGTGGCACACTGATTCTTATTGTGGCAGATTACACATTGATTCCGTTTGTCGGGCGGGCGGGCGGGGCATTAAAGGCAATGATTGCTTTGGTGGCGAATTACGAATGGATTCTCTTTTATTGCGGATTACAAACTGATTCCTTTGGTCGGGCGGGCGGGCGGGACATTAAAAGCATTGGTTGCTTTGGTGGCGGATTACAAAGTGATCCCATGTGGAATCGGGTTACAAGTTGATTACTATTGTGGCGGATTACAAGCTGATTCTTTAGGTCGGGCGGGCGGGCGGGACATTAAAGGCATTGCTTGCTTTGCTGGCGGATTACATATTGATGCCCTTTGTGGCGGAGTGGGAGTGGAAGAGGAGGAGAAGGGGGAGGAGGAGCAGGAGGGGGAGGCGGAGGGCGACGATGACGACGACGACGACGACGACGACGACGACGACTGTCTGGGCCTGGAGCGCGCCCGGCGGGGCGCGCCTTCCTGAGCGCACGCCGACGCGAGGGAGACGCCGAGGACCGACGAAGACCTGCTCGGCCCTCGGTCTTCGAGGAGGTCTGGGCTTGGGCCCCCCTCCTCCTCCTCCTCCTCCTCCCCCTCCTCCTCCTCCTCCTCCTCCGACTCCTCCTCCCTCCTCCCTCCGCACGCCTCCTCCCTCCTCCCTCCTCACTCCGTCCGCCCGCCTCCTCCCTCCCCCCTGCTCCCGCCGCCTCCTCCGCCTCCGCCGCCACCTCCTCCTCCTCCTCATCCTCCTCCTCCTCCTCCTCCCCCTCCTCCTCCTCCTCCTCCTCCTCCACCTCCTCCTCCTCCTCCCTCGCTACTCCCTCGATCCCCTGCTTCCCCCCCCCCCGCTCCCCCTTCCGAGGGCAGGGCGCCCGCGCCGCCCCCCGGCGACCGCGGCCCCGGCGCCGCAGACCCCCCCTCGCAGACCCCCCCTCTGGGACCCCCCCTCGCTGACCCCCCCTCGCAGACCCCCCCTCACAGACCCCCCCTCTGGGACCCCCCCTCGCTGACCCCCCCATCGCTGACCCCCCCTCGCAGACCCCCCTCGCAGACCCCCTCTCTGGGACCCCCCCTCGCTGACCCCCCCTCTGGGACCCCCCTCACAGACCCCCCCTCGCTGACCCCCCCTCGCAGATCCCCCCTCGCTGACCCCCCCTCGCGTGACCCCCCCTCTGGGACCCCCCCTCGCTGACCCCCCCATCGCAGACCCCCCCTCGCAGACCCCTCCTCTGGGACCCCCCCTCGCTGACCCCCCCTCTGGGACCCCCCCTCGCAGACCCCCCCTCGCTGACCCCCCCTCGCAGACCCCCCCTCGCTGACCCCCCCTCGCTGACCCCCCCTCGCTGAACCCCCCCTCGCTGACCCCTCCTCTAGGACCCCCCCTCGCTGACCCCCCCTCTGGGACCCCCCCTCGCTGACCCCCCTCGCTGACCCCATCTCAGGGACCCCCCTCCTGGGGTCCCCCATTCGCGACCCCCTCGCTGACCCCCCTCACAGACCCCTCGCAGACCCTCCCCTCGCTGACCAGACCCCCCCTCGTTGAATCCCCCTCCGCTTTACCCCCCCTCGCTGACCCCCCCTCCTCTGGGACCCCCCCTGCTGACCCCCCCCTCGCTGACCCCCCCCACGCAAACCCACCCCGTTCGCTGACCCCTCGTGACCCCCCTCGTGCCCCCCTTGGGGCCCCCTCGGGTGACCCCCCCTCCTGGGACCGGGGTCCTCCGCTGATACCCCCCCTCCCCCCCCCCCTCTGGGACCCCCCATCCACGACAACCCCCCTCGCTGTCTCTCGCAGACACCCCCTTCGCTGGGACACACCTCCCTCCCCCTCTCGTCGCTGACCCCCCTTGGGGGCCCCCCTCTTCGTCGTTGACCCCCTCGCTGACCCCCCCTCGCAGACCACCCCTCGCAGACCCCCCCTCTGGGACCCCCCCTCGCAGACCCCCCCTCTGGGACCCCCCCTCGCCGACCCCCCCTCTGGGGCCCCCCCCCTGGGGTAGGCTACCCTAGGCTCAGAGTCGGCCGCGCGCAGAGGGAGGGTAGCCCTAGGGATAGGCCCAAGGGGTAGGCCCTAGGGTGGCCCTAGGGGTGGGCCTTAGGGGTAGTCATTTTATTGCGGATTACAAACTGGTTCCTTTCGTCGGGCGGGTAGGGCAGGACATGAAATGCATTGATTGCTTTGGTGGCGGATTACATGTTGATTCCCCTTGGTAGCGGATTACAACTTGATGCCTTTAGTCGGGCGGGCGGGCGGGACATTAAAGGCATTGATTGCTTGCTTGTGTGGTGGATTACCAATTGCTTCCCGTTGGTACCGGATTACGAGTGGATTCCATTTGTGGCGGATTACAAGCTGATTCCTTTTGTCGGGCGGGCGGGCGGGACATTAAAGGCATTGATTGCTTGTGTGGCGGATGGCAAACTGATTCTTATTGTGGCAGATTACAAATTGATTCCTTTTGTCTGGCGGGCGGGCGGGACATTAAAGGCAATGATTGCTTGTTTGGTGAATTGCGAATGGATTCCCTTTGGCAGCGGATTTTAAACTTATTCCTTTGGTCGGGCGCCTTTTGCCGGGCGGGCGGGCGGGACATTGAAGGCAACAATTGCTTGTGTGGTGAATTGCAAATGGATTCCCTGTGGCAGCGGATTGCAAACTTATTCCTTTGGTCGGGCGGGCGGGCGGGACATTAAATGCATTGATTGCTTTCGTGGCGGATTACAAAGTGATTCCATTTGGCAGCGGATTGCAAGTTGATTACTATTATGGCGGATTACAAGCTGATTCCTTTTGTCGGGCGGGCGGGCGGGACATTAAAGGCATTGCTTGCTTATGTGGCGGATTACACATGCTGAAGGCCCTAGGCTTCCCAAGGATAGGCCCTACTGGACACCCTAGGGTAGCCCTAGGGTACCCCTAGGGGTAGGCCCCAGAGGTAGCCCTAGGGTAGCCCTAGGGGTAGGCCCTAGGGGTAGCCCTAGGGTAGCCCTAGGGGTAGGCCCTAGGGGTAGCCCTAGGGTAGCCCTAGGGGTAGACCCTAGGGGTAGGCCTAGGGTAGCCCTAGGGGTAGACCCTAGGGGTAGGCCTAGGGTAGCCCTAGGGGTAGGCCCTAGGGGTAGGCCTAAGGTAGCCCTAGGGGTAGGCCCTAGGGGTAGCCCTAGGGTAGCCCTTCCTTGGGTGATCTATAAGGGCATAAGGCATTTTAGGATATGAAAATGTATAGGCTCTTAGCTCTTAGGGTTTAGGGTCCACTAACCCAAACTTGAAGCCTGTTGGACGTGACCCACCCACCCATGACCCAAGACATATGGATCTCAAAACGACGACGACGATGGTCCGAAGAAACTCTGACATGCACGCACGACAACAACAACAACAACAACAACAACAATTACTAGCACGTGGGGACACACCGTTCTCACCAGTGCCAGGGTTTTCATGGGACGCCGGCCAATACCCCCACTTTGTGGGGGGGGCAGCTCAAGCTCTACCAAACTTCCAAACGACTCTTCGCGACCACCCACACCCAGCTTCCCGCCCTATGACGTTCGGACACTTCACTTCGTGGCATGCGGACGACCTTGGCTACTATTCAGGGCCAGCGGGTTTTTTAGGATTCGGACAGCGCGCGCGGGTAGAAATTTTGAAAATTCGTACAGATGTTTTTCGAGGACCTACGGTGCGATTCGTATGATTTTATGTTGCGCGGTGCTAGAATTCCTAAGAAACCCAATGGTTTTTGAAGATTTCGGCGTGCGCGCGCGAAGAGAAAACGAATGTGTCCCGCATGGTATTATTTGACAGGGATGATGGCCCTGGCAGGTGCGCAACCGTTGTTGCAGAAGTTCGAAAAAGTTGCTCGCAAAAGCCCGTTTGACAGAAATGTTTAAAAAGTGTTGGGTTTCCTACAAATCCGCAAGAGCGCGCGGGATGAAATTTTGACATTTTTGTTTTTGAAAAAAAACCATTGGTTTTTTGATGTTTTTATGTTAAAATCGCTACGAAAACTAAGGTTTTGGAAGGATTTCGTCTTGCGCGCGCGAATGTCCACTTTACCTTATTTTTTGCAAGGGATTCTTGAAGTTTGGTATGTTAGAACAAGAAATGTCCACTTTAGCTTATTTTTTGCAAGGGAAAACCGATCGTAACAACACAACCGGATCCGGACCAACCCGTTTTGCCTGAGACTTCCTCACGAAAATGATGAAAATGAGGCTGCGGCCTAGGCGCGGCGGGGGGGTCGTGCACCAGGGGCCCCAACAATAATTATTCTTTAGAAGTAATAATGTTCAACAACAACAACAACAACAACAACAACAACAACAACAACAACAACAACAACAACAACAACAACAACAACAACAACAACAACAACAACAACAACAACAACAACAACAACAACAACAATCACTTTACCCGAACGCTCAGTGTTCTCACCATTGCCAGGGTTTTCATGCGACGCCAGCCAATACCCCCACTTTGTGGGGGGGCAGTGCAAGCTCTACCAAATATCCACACGACTCTTCGCCACCACCCACACCCAGCTTCCCGCCCTATGACGTTCGGACACTTCACTTCGTGGCCTGCGGACGACCGTGGCTACTACACTGGCGTGGAGTACACACCCACAGAAGTTGTTAAGCCTACGTTCGTACACCCACAGAAGTTGTTAAGCCTTGTTAACCCACAGAAGTTGTTAAGCCTTCCACAGAACATCTGTTGCATATGATGTAGCTCGCGCGAGCTCATGTAACATAAATGTTGGGAAACCATTGTTTTTTTTTTGGATTCGGACAGCGCGCGCGGGTGGAAATTTTGAAAAGTCGTGCAGCTGTTTTTCGAGGACCTACGGTGCGATTCGTGTGATTTTATGATGCGCGGTGGTAAAATTCTTAAGAACCCAATGGTTTTTGGAGATTTCGGCGTGCGCGCGCGAAGAAAAAACGAATCTGTCCCGCATGGTATTATTTGACAGGGATGATGGCCCTGGCAGGTGCGCAACCGTTGTCGCAGAAGTTCGAAAAAGTTGCTCGCAAAAGCCCGTTTGACAGAAATGTTTAAAAAGTGTTGGGTTTCCTACGAATCCGCAAGAGCGCGCGGGATGAGATTTTGACATTTTTTTGTTGAAAAACCATTAGTTCTTTGATGTTTTTATGTTGAAATCGTTCCGAACACTAAGCTTTTGGAAGGATTTCGTCTTGCGCGCGCGAATGTCCACTTTACCTTATTTTTTGCAAGGGATTCTTGAAATTTGATTATATTAGAACAAGAAATGTCATTTTATAGTGTTTTTTGCAAGGGAAAGCGGGGGGGAACAAAACAACCGGATCTTGATCACATCGAATTACCGGAGGCTTCCTCACGAAAATGATGAAAATGTAGCTGCGGCCTAGGCGGCGCAGGGGGGCCGTGCACCAGGGGTCCCAACAATAATTATTCTTTAGAATTAATAATGTTCAACAACAACAACAACAACAACCGCGTGCAACTACTCGCGCGACCTCGGGCGGATGAAATAGCAGCCTGCACTTCGAAAACCACTGCTGTGGAGAACAGGAGAATCGGCATGATGGGAAGCAGACGATCACCTCGCCAGTGTCTCGGGCCGTAGATAATGAAGCCACTGAGGCACCAAGCAGATTAATCCTTCTCCACCTTTCCTCCGCATCCCCAGCGTCCTCCTCCTTCGTCTTCTAATTACCCCTAGACCTCGACTGTGTAGATCCGCCCATCCGACTCCAAAATCTTCCTGAGCCAGCCCTTGCCTTTCAGGCACGCCTTAGCCTCCTTCACAACCTCCGGGTGCCGCTCGTCGAGAAGCTTCCGGAGCTCGTTGCCCGACATGTACCCCTTTGGGTCTCCTGCAGGAGCGGCCAACGTCCCATCAGGAAGCCGGGTCGACTCGGAGCGTGCGTCGGATCCACCCGCATCTGATGGGCCCGTTTTCCAGCACCACCATCAGTTGGAGGGGGGAACGAGGTGAAGGACGAGGAGAGGAGGACAGAGAGGAGGTGGAGGAGGAGGAGGAGGAGGAGGAGGAGGAGGAGGTGGAGGAGGAGGAGGAGGAGGAAGAGGAGGACAGGTCGCCTAAGCCCTTCGGAGAAACGAGGTGAAGGACGAGGACAGGAGGAGGACAGGTCGAGGAGGTGAAGGACGAGGAGAGGAGGACAAAGAGGAGAAGGAGGAGGAGGAGGAGAAGGAGGAGGAGGTGGAGGTGGATGAGGAGGAGGACCCCTCCCTCCAACTCGTGGCGGTAGTGGAAAAAACCCACCCGCATCTGTGCGGAGCCGGGCCGAAAAGCGGAGGTGAGCCGCCGCGCCCAGGCGCAGAGCAGCGGTGCCGGCCGCAGAGATCCGACGTCGTGATTTCTTCAATGCTCGACCACACGCAAGGAGGAGGAGGAGGAGGAGGAGGAGGAGGAGAAGAGAGGAGGAGAGAGGAGGAGAGAGGAGAGAGGAGAGAGGAGGAGGAGGAGGAGGAGGAGGAGGAGGAGGAGGAGGAGGAGGAGGAGGAGGAGGAGGAGGAGGAGGGGGAGGAGGGGGAGGAGGAGGAAGAGGAGGAGGAGGAGGAGGAGGAGGAGGAGGGCAGGGGGAGATGTAGAGGGACAATGCCCGACTTGAGGCCATACGCGAACGACGGGCCATGCGAGTAAGAGTGACCTCTGGTGCGCGGCTTTTGGGGGGCCACGGGGGGGACCAACCACCAGCGCGCAAGACGCTGCTACCGCATCGCGTTCCGCGCTCGGGGGACTCTGTTGGGCCCGCCCCAAAGGTCACTCCGGCGAAAGGTCACTCCTACGTGTAGTCGAAAGATGGGGCCCCCGGAAGTCTCGACCCATTCCCCAGGACCGGCTTTTCGTCCCAAGTCGCTTTTGGACGGCCCCGGGCCCAGCGAGGGCCCCCGGTGGCCGAAAATGGTGAAAAACCTCCAGCCGTGGTTTTTCATGGCTCGAGGGGGTCTGGGCTCGGAGTGGAGTATGATGTGGCCGGCGCAGTGTGTGCTTGTGCGTGTGTGTGTGTGTGTGTGTGTGTGTGTGTGTGTGTGTGTGTGTGTGTGTGTGTGGCAGCGTGACTCCTAGTGGGCCCCTTGGGCCCGTCGTGGGGGTCTTCCTCTCTACAGGTCCCCCCTGGCCTCTCGCAATTTGTTTTAAAGGCTCAAATCGGCTACACGCAAGAGTGACCCTGGGTAAGAGTGACCTTTAGTGCGCGGCTTCTTCGGGGCCGCGGGGGGACCAACACACAAGCGCGCAAGACGCTGCTACCGCATCGCGTTCCGCGCTCGGGGGACCCTGTTGGGCCCGCACCAAAGGTCACTCCGGCGAAAGGTCACTCCTACGCGTAGTCGAAAGATGGGGCTCCCGGAAGTCTCGACCCATTCCCCAGGACCGGCTTTTCGTCCCGAGTCGCTTTTGGACGGCCACGGGGCCCGGCGAGGGCCCCTGGTGGCCGAAAATGGTGAAAAACCTCCAGCCGTGGTTTTTTCATGGCTCGAGGGGGTCTGGGCTCGGAGTGGGGTATGATGTGGCCGGCGCATTGTGTGTGCTTGTGCTTGTGCTTGTGCTTGTGCTTGTGCTTGTGCTTGTGCTTGTGCTTGTGCTTGTGCTTGTGCTTGTGCTTGTGCTTGTGCGTGCGTGTGTGTAGGTGTGTGTGTGTGTGTGGCAGCATGACTCCTGGTGGGCCCCCTGGGCCCGCCGTGGGGGCCTTCCTCTCTACCAGGTCCCCCCTGGCCTCTCGCAATTCGTCTTCACGGCTCAAACCCAGACATGCGACGTCCTGATTTTTTGAAAACGGCGTCCCCAGAAGAAACGACCCTTTCCCCGGGGCCGGTTCTCCGCCCTGAGTCAACCTTGGACGGTCCCGAGGCCCGGCGAGGGCCCCCCGAGGCCGAGAGTGGGCAAAAACCTCCCGTCCTGACTTTTTTACGACGCGAGCATGTCTGGGAAGGCGGTCTGGGATCGGAGTGCGCCCGGGCCTCGCAGGGCGGCCGCCATCGTCCGGAGCAGGGCGGCGGCGTGCTGCGGGTCCAGGTCGCCCGCGGAGGGCTCCTCCCGCGCGGGCCTCGCCGCGTCGGCCGCGGCGAGGCGGCCGTCGGCGGGGGCCACCTCCGCCAGGCAGTAGCAGGGCTCCCCCTTGCCGTCGACCAGCACCTCGTGGGCCACCCCTCCCCTCCCCTCCCTCCCCCTGCCATCCCCTCCCTCCCTCCCTCCTCCCTTGCCCTCCCCTCCCTCCCTCCCCTCACCTCCCCTCCTCATACTCCTCCCCCGTGACTCCCTCCCTCCCTTCTCCCCTTCCCCTCCCCCTCCCTCCCTCCCTCCCCTCCCCTCCCCTCCCTCCCTCCCGCCATCCCCTTGCCATCCCCTCCCCCCTCCCCTCACCTCCCTCCCCTCCCCCTTCCCTCCCCTCCCTCCCCCGGCCATCGCTCGGGCGCCCACGCCCCGTGTGCGCTCTTCGGCCTCGCGCGCGCCGCGCCTGCCAGGCGAGCCGGGCTGCTCCTCGAGGGCCCTCGCCGAGACAGAACAATGTCACTGCCCCGACCTTGCCCGGGGATGGACAGACCTCCCTTTAGTAGAACGTGGTTTAGTGAAAACGACCTGGGGCCCAAACCTGGCGGGCGCAAGCCTGGAAATTAACGGCCGCGGCGCCCTCTCGAGAACCGAAAACGGACAATCCACTAATCGACGTGTCACTGTTAGGAGGTCTGTCCACCCCTGACTTGCAGGCGTGCTGCAGCGGATGTTTGCGTGGATTCCTGTCCATGCAAAAGCCCGAAGCGGCGAGTGAAAAACGGAGTGAATTTCGCGTGGGCCTTTTGTGAGTCATCGCTCCTGGCCAGAAGGATCCGCGCGAAACTCACCTCGCAATCCGGAGCGAAATTCTCCAGGACACTCCGGGCCCATCCTGTCGTTTTTCGAACGAATTGAGCTGGGACCGACCGTCATGGCATTCCTATAGTCCTAACAAGAAATGCTCTCAGAACACGAACCCGATGTGTTACAGCAAGACAGTCCCAGCAAGACATGTTCTGAGAACATTTCGTGGAAACCACAAAAGCTTCTTAGCACATTGCTTGGTAGGGCTACAGGCACGCCAGGACGCTTCGTCACTGCTTGAACAAAATCCGCTCTGCGATGTCGGCGCCATTAGTAAAACAAGGCTAGGATCGTGATAAATCGCTCCAGAGCGTTCCGGAACGCTCTCAGCGCGTTCCGGAACGCTCTGGAGCGGCCGCGGCGCCCAATACATCCTCCAAACCCGCCGATTCTCAGAGATTTCGAGTTACCCCGATCCGATTTTGTCCCGATCCTCGCGTCGTTTTAGACATGCGCGCGGCCGAGCGACGCCACACCCCGGGACCACTGCGGAAGCGGCCTCCCGGGGCGGGCAGGCGGCACTGCCCGGGCCGCGACTGCCGCGGCCTCCGCTCTGGCCACATGGCCCCCTCTCTGGCTCCACAGTGAGGGTCTTGACCTAAGGAACCCTAAATAAGGAACGAGGCCCCTTTTTTTCCACAAGTTAAACTTCGATTTCCTATCGGAAACATAAGGCAAACATGAGGCATGCTGTGAAACAATCAAGGAACACCGAGCCCCTCCCCACCAACGAAAAGCGTTCCTTCTTCAAGGCCCCGACTGTACAGCAGCAATAAAGGCGGAGAGGGCGGCCACACGGTCCCGGTCACCGGCTACCCACCAGACCACCCCAACGCGACCCGAAGATCCCAATTTCGGGTTCGGGGGGATATGGGCTCCGTATGTGCCTGTCCTTGTTCCCCGACCCCCCCCCCCCAGTGCAGATTGGAGGGCAGATGGAAGCCTTCGGGTTGGGCTGCTGTTGTGTATGGGGTTGAAGTACAAGGGTACAGAACCCCTGATCCGTTGGTAGAGAGATGGAGGGATAGATGGATATCTTTCCCTCCCACGCGATCAAGGTACGATCGCTCCAACTCAGTACCTGAACCCAAACGGCCAGGTGCGGGAGAGGTAAGGATAAGGAGTATATATGAGGGTATTACACGGGTTCCATTCACACCCCCCGTCCCGAATCCCGCCCGTTAAGGCAGGACTCGGGAACAGAGGAAAGGTATCCGTAACCTCTGAACTCCTTTAGTCCTTAAGTCAGAAGGCAGCTGGGCTTAAAATCAGCGAAGCCACAGCTGCAAAGTGAGGTAAGAAGAGATACCCTAAGTCCCCCCTTCATCTCCAGGCGCACTTTGGCGCCCCCTCGGTGCGCCCCCCAAAAACGCTTCGGCGCTCGAGGGAGGAGAAGAATGAGACAAGGGTAGGCGGAGAAAGAAGATCTGAGCACTAAGGCAACATGCAATCTGCCTCGCAAGATTTGCGAGGCAGGTGTTGCCACCAGCCATCAGATTATTCTCGACGCAATATTGTTCAAATTGTTAAAATATACATGCTAAGATCGCGTTGACGAACACAATCTTGAAATGAAACACAAGTCTGCCTAAAAACAAATGTACGCTAAGATCGCGTTGACGAACACGATCCTGAAAAGAAACGCAAATCTGTGTAAAGCAAGTGTCTGGCCAGACAAAATGTCGTGTTGATGAACACGAAAAAGGATGTATAAAAATCTGTTTGGCGACTCCCGTTGGCGTTGCTCCTTAGGAGGCTGCCTCGGTGATCGCAGAAGATATATATGTTTGTGTATGGCCACTTGTGTGAATGATTGAAGTGGCCTAAAAGAATATATTAGCCACCGCTCAAGGCGAACTTTAATGGAAGAAAGTTCTGCTCTTGAGCGGTGGGCCTCGCGGCCGACTCACTACGCGTCGCCGTCCTTGTAGAACCTGCGGTCCCACACCCTCTGGCCGTTGTGCGTCGCGTAGCTTGTCGTAAACGTTTCCCAAGTTGTCCCCGGGATCCAGTTGCGGAACCAATCGTTGTACGTGATATCCTGGATGTACATATACTCGTCGTTGTTGATCGCAATGTAGATCCAACATTTGATGTAGTAACTCCAGTATCGAAGACCCCAGTAGCTGTCCTCGAGGTCGCGGCGCCAGTAAGCAGCGTAATCAGATGTACGTGCTCTCTTGGCGCGCGGCATCGCGGGCGTGTAGTCCTCCGCGCCTGAGGCGCTGGACGCAGCAGCGTCGCCAGGAGCAGGGCGCGGCGGCGGGCGCGGCGGCGGCCGCGGCTCCATGGCGTCATCGGACTGTTGGGATTGTGTATCGGGATCGGTTCTCATCCCTGTACTAACCCCCCTCTGGTCGGTGTGTGACGGATCGAGGGAGCCTATCAGTTCGTTGGCGATCGCGGCAAGCTCGCGCTGGGTGAACTGTTCACGGGTTCCGTCCCTTCGAGGGAGAGAAACCGTAACCAGTCCGCGCGCCTGCCGCGTCTGCCTGTCAATGCGCCCCTCGTTCAGCCACCACTTTCTCCGACCAGCCTGTCCTGTCCTAATGCTGACGTCAAGGATGTCCCACGCGTCGCGCATGTCCTCGACGGTCCAGGGCTTCTTGCCGACATTCACGCGGGCACCTGTCATCTGATGATGGAACTTGAGGTCGTTGAGAAAGCGTTGTATGAGATTGGCGAATGGGTAGTACAGAGGTCGGTCGTCCTCGGATTCGCCCATTAATCTGCACTCGTGTGCAGGCGGGCTACCGGCTTCGACCCACTTCTGATACCTCTTTTTGGACGCATTGGCCAATCTCCGCAACTGATCTTTCTCGGTGCCTATGTGCGATCGCGCACCCGTCATAATGACGTGCGCGCCATCCTTCATGTATCTCGCGATCTGGTCCTCAGACAACGTCGTCTTGATCCAGTTCGTCAACTTCTGCAGGTACGCGAGATCGCTCTGTGTGGCGGTGCTCTTACCTGTGGCGCCTACGGCCACAGTGTATTGCCAACAGATATCACAAAGTGCGCCGTCACCTGTGACAATCCCGAGGAACAGATCTCGACCGCAATTTTGACAGAGCGGTATGGGATGCAAGGTCGTCTCGGGGGCCCCTGCCGAAGTCAGGTGATCGCGGGATCCCCAGCGGGTGTCCTGACCGCGAGCGAGGCTCTGACCGATCTGATTGATCGCCTCACGATTGATCTCGGTGTTCGGTCTGGAAGCGATCGATCTGCTTAAACCCTCGATCTCGATCCGAGACAACCTTTCCCCTGGCAGTCCTTTGTACTCTATATTGATGTTGTCGGTATCCTCAGTACCGCCATGGCATACGTTCTCCTCACGAAGAAGGCGAGCCTGCTCCTGCAAGGTAGCCTCGTTGTCGCCCTCCTCGCGCTTGAGTCCCGTCTGCTCGGCTATGATACGTACCATAGTTTCCTGATCGGGAGCTGCAGACGCAACGCTGCCTGGGTCCTGGGGAATATCCTGCTCAGCGCCTTGCTCTCGAGGCGCAGCAGGTGTTTCCACCAGCTCTTCCCATACAGGAAAATCTGGATTACCGTATGTCACAGCACAATTTTTGAATAGGTCACGCAATGCCTGAAGTGCAGGATGGTTCTCATGGATGGCCTCTTTGGCGAAATCTGGAAGCTCCGCAATACTATCTTTCAAGATGTTCTGGTATACTTTGGAAATCCATAGAAAGATGCCTGTGGTCGACTCCTCGATAGTCTCTGGGTCGAGGTAGTGTACCAACTGTTTGAAGAAATGATCTGCACCACAATTAGGTAAGTCACGTGCCCACTTGTGGGTATGATTGTAGTTCAATTGGTATGACTCCGCATTCCATGCTTTCGATCCAAATCGAATTTCAAATTGCAAATGTGACTGAATTTTGTCCATTACGATTCTGTCTGCGCCACTGTGTAGCTCGATGATCTGCTTCATCTTGATCATAGGCGAATCCACCAGTAACGCCGATGTCCAACAATACACGCGGCAATCATCAGACTGTTTAATCCATCTTGAATCCTCGTCGGGGTCGTAATCTGGATGGTCAAGGAAATTCGATGGCGGATCAATAATATTGTCGAGGATGCTTGCCTCAATCTGCTCTTCTGCTTGGATGTCTGCCGAGGTCTGCTCTCATGTTGTCGTTCGCAGCTTTCTCATCGGCAGTAAGAGCGATATTTGATATGTCCACGATTACGGTGATCAGTGGATCATGCGATGATGCTGCACCCTGTCGAGGAATTTCGCCCGTCTGAGCGTTGTCCTCGGCAGG